TGGGTACTACCATCTACATGGGATCCTACGGTAAATAAAATTAAACCCAAACCCAATCAAACCACTGCAAGACTCATTTTGCGTAAATCGGACCACAAATTCAAAATTTGAAGGTAGACGGGTTAACTATGACATCGGGACGTCAAACACCTTAGTCCCCCACGTGAACACGAGTGCTGTTAAGTACCCAAAACGTCGTTAGTTAAATATAAAAAAATAAACGCGATAAAATACGTAAAAATATTTTATTCAAGGTGATTTATTAATAGCCTTGGGTTTAAGCTATGGTTGAAGAATATTTATTATTATTATTACATAAAACGGTTTAGATCTTACTCCTAGCTTTTCTACATAACAAAATAATGAAACATTTTATTTAAAGATATAATTTTACAAAAAAAAAACAATAAATATATAATATTAGCTATTCAGCGAGGAAACGCAGCCAGCTTTTTTGGCACTATACCACGGGGAGCAGGACTTTTTGACTATTTAAATTTTTAGTCTTAGTTTTTCTATATTATAGTTTCTTTTTTATATTGTGAAAAATTAGTATTAATTGTAAATATTATAATTTTAATTATTATTTTCATTTAATGTTACGTATATAATAATTGCTGTAATATACTTTAATGTACATATAAATAAAATAATGAAACTAAAATTAAACGCCGTAAAATATCATTCAATATCAAGTATTCGTGTAAAGATAAGAAACCATTATGGGATATAATAAATTAAGTTCAGCATATTTAACTGAACCAATAAACTGATAGTTTAACGATCGCTTTGTTGCATGCAAATGCACTAACACAATAAAAACGATATCACTTAATAGGATAGTGATGTCACTTGCGGCGCTTGCTTGAATTCCGTCCAATAAAATCACTATTTGTCTCGTTTAAAACGTGGTAAAGGAATCAAACAACAAGCGGGCGTAAATGAGCGCGAGGGCCGCGGTCGCAGTTGCAAACGGTAAAATCAAATTGTAAAGACTTCAACGTGACATGCTTATTCAGAGTCGCTAATATCTGCGAGTATACTGTGTTATTTTGTCAGACTATTCAGAACTTAATAATAGCACTTGTAACCTTCCCGGTGGAGCAAAAGTATAGATGTATGACGAAGTATGGCTGTAATAAGAACGGGTTGGCTCGACCGGCGAAATATCGCATAAAATACCATAATGAAATATAGAGAATAAGATGCTACATGTTTTATTTATACAGATTTTATTGCGTTTTATTGACTTAATTAAACGGGATAAAATCCCCATAAATAGTTTTATTTAATGTGTTCGCTTAAATTTAAGAAATCATTATGTTACATGTTTATTCATTGCTGCTATAATTTATACAAAAAAGAAAAAAAAACTTTAACTAAAATAATAAAATACTTAAAAAAATAGTAAGCTTTGCTCTGGATACCAGCAACACAGCTACCGACTCAGCGTAATACTGCAGTAACCGAGTTACCGCAGCGCTGATATTCTGTCCGAGCCACATACGCGTAATGACTAGTTTACACAGTGCGAGCTAACGTACGAGTCAGACTGCCGAGTAGCTGCACTGTGTTTTGACGTCACTTTCGAGTAACTCGCACGTGCGAGTTGGTTGGAAAAATGTTGGTGGAAAAATGAAGTAACTCGCATCCGAGTTACTTCAACATTTTTTGTTTTCACTCGCATGCTTACCCGCCAGCGGCTCGGCCGTCACTCGCATCGTTTAGACGCGTTCGCCAGTAGCTCGCCAGTGCTTTTTTTATAACACGTTCCCTCGACATTTTAAAGGGGCAGAGCAGTGGCTAGATAAAATTGGCCCTTTGCGCGGCAACTCGCAAGACTGGGCAGCAGCTACTAATGTTGTGTACACTGCAAAGGCGAGCCGAGCTACTGGCGTACGAGTAGACAAGCTGAGTAGCTGTCTACTGTCTAGTCAGCGGCTCGCATCGTCTAAACTAGCCATAAGGCGACTTGCGAGCAATTGGTGGATATAATTTTTTTATCACAATTATTACTAAACACACACATATTTTAATAAATAGAATCAGGCGTTACTTTGCGAAATGCTAAATCCATAATATTATAGATGTTTATAATTTGCTAAGATACGCATAATAAAATAAAATGATGTATCTTACCTTCGGAGAGTACCTCCTGTCTCCTTCAATTGCGTGTACTATTGTTCTGGGATTTGTGGTGACTCTTCTATAGGACAGATACAGATCGATTTTAGCCTCTTGTTAAACTTAAAACGAGACAAAAAGATTCTAAACTCTATCAATAAAATACTAATTTAGTCTTAGTAGATATAACAGATTGTATTATCTCTATAAGCGCAATATGGTCATATCACCCATATCATCCACCTCCTGGAATGAATATCCCTTTCACCACCGATCCTACCTCGAGCAAGATTAAATAGACAGTTAAGACGTAATTAATTATTATAAAACTATTCAAAAGTCCATAACACAAATAGGAAATCCAAATTTGCCGATTGAAGCGACATCAACCAGATGGTTAAGCATTTTTGTAAGCCTACATGAAATCGTAGAAGTTCATTTTCTCAAGTCAAAAAAAATCTGTTTTTGACTTGCGAAATGAATATAAATATCCGCCATTTGCAGTAAAAATTATTTTATGATACCGTATAACGGCTTTAATAATAATTCGAAAATAGGGGAAATATGTAGGAAGCTAGGCATATAGTTCATCGTAAATCTTTATTAAGTGTTTAAGGGAAAAAGCAAACACTTGCGTGAAAAGCGTTTTTGTCTTTTTTATCATTTTTTACTTACAATTCTTGCCATACAGACAATGAAACTTATACAAAAATTTATAATGGCTGTCAATGGGTTAATATCAGTCGTCACGTTGGCTATCCTGATATTGCATTCTGAAAATACCGGTATAAAAGTGGTCAGTTATAAAGTTATAGCGTTCTCTTTACCCTTCCTTACAGGCAACACTGAAGTTATTAATTATTACAATCAGGTACATGCTTTGATAATTTTAATATAGAAATGTGGCAAATAAAAATTTAGATTTAGACCACCTGATGGCTATGGCGTAGCATCAATCGCACAATTTAGATATATAATTAGTTTTGTTATTTGGTTGCTTTTAGAGCCGTGGTAGCTCAGATGGTTAATGCTCGCTGTAAATATAACTGAAAGCGAGAGAGAGGGTTCGATCCCCACCGGCACCAAAGAAATTGTTAATTGCAATTTTAAGTGCTGATTTACCACGTGCTCGGCGGTGAAGGAAAACATCGTGAGGAAACCTGCATATCTGAGGAATAAGAAAAAAAATATTTCGAAGAGATGTGAAGTTCGCCAACACGCATTGGGGCAGCGCGTAAAAATGACACAGACTGCAAATTCGACAAAAATCAAAGATCGAGAATTGAAGATTAAATCATCAAAAGCAACAAACCTTCCCTTTGAAATTTCTGAACGCTTCACTGGCCAGCTCACCGCCATTGTTGCGTCCAGAAACGGGACTGTCGATTCAATGCACAAAGAGCAATTCATTATGTTTACGCAAATTAAACTTCCACTAATACTGTTATTATAGATCTTAAACATTTCCAGGTTGCACGCAATTAGTTGTTCAACGATATGTCTTTTAAATTACATTATTAAACATTAGAGATAATGATTGCGATAGATTTATACTATATTTATAATATTTATATTATAAAAGAGGTATAGTAAAATATTTTGATTCTTCTAGATATACGTAATGCCTTTTTAAAATACTTAAATAAAATATTATTAATTATATTTTGATTGGCGCATTCCGATTACTGAGATTTTTAGAACATTACCTAAAGTAAGAAGTAAGTACACATTTAAACTATAAAATCTATATAAGTACACGCCGAACTCAAACTTTGTAAACTGATAACTGATTCATTTTGTGTAATATTAATTAAATGTAGGGCATTATTTTATTGCCATTGACTAAATGAAAGATGTCCATAATTTTACGTGCGTAATAAATCTGCTAAGATTATATATTACTGTAAGTTATTACTGTTCTAAATTTTTCATAAAATTAGTGCCTTACCTATTGATTATGAAATATGTAACCTTTTTTTTAATATTATTTATCCTTTCACTAGCACACATCTGTCTGGGCACTGTAATATAACCTGCGGAGTTTGATCATTTGATCGGAAGATCTCAACGTAAGTGTAGCCTTTTAAACGATGAGCATATCATATATGCATAAATGGAGGTCCGTAGTCTCCATCTCCTTCTCTGGGTGACAGGTGTGGGTGTATATGTGTTTTATGACAACGTCTTCTTTATCAGGTTGAGACGAACCACGGCCGGACATGGACCCTTTCTATTGTAAGAAGGAGGATTTACTATAATCGATAGAGTAAAGGATGGTAATTCGGAATACTGCTGGTAATTTGGAATACTGCATTATAAAAATAAATAAAAGCGCCATCTAATAACGAATGCCTGTATTACGTAGTCCGTGTACTAACAAACAAAGAGGGCGTGACTGAGAAGCAGCCATATTGACAGCGCCGTGACAAACTGCATCGGAGTGAAAGTGCTGTCGAGAAAATTTTTCAAGTAAGTAATAAATCGGCTTGCATCTTGAGTTTAACTTATATTTACATGTTTGTATTTGTACAAATCTATAGTTTTGTGTATCAGTTGTAGAAATCATGGCTTATTTTCGAAATTATTCTAAACACACATTGATAAAAATATTTTAGGTTAAAATACTATAGGTGAAGTCAATTTGGAATATTCCAAATTATGTGCACATTAGTTTGCCTTCTTGTTTCTACTTCTGATTGAAAGGATTCTTTTTAAGTATTTATTATTTATTCAAATAGTCTTTTTGATCAATATTATTTAATTTTGTTTTAGTAATGTCTTCGACCACTGCTAACTCTGCCAGTAAATATAAAAAGCGTAAGAAGTGGAGTCAAAATGATATGGCTGCTGCAATATTAGCAGTTCGAGACAAGAAAATGGGCTATTTAAAGGCAGCAAAAACTTATAATGTACCCAGAACCACCTTATTTCGACTTGTTCAAGAAAATGACAGTTTGTTAGAAGATACTCTGACCAAAAAGATAGGTCGCAGACCAGTATTTAATAAGGTTTTTGAGGAAATGTTGGTGAAATATGCCCTTGTTATGGAACAAAAATTATGTGGTTTGACTCGAATGGATATGAGAAGAATAGCATATCAACTTGCTGTTAAAAATAATGTGCCCCATCCATTCCATGACGACAGAGCTTGCAGATACTGGCTGAAAGGATTTCTTGCGAGGCACAAGCAAACTTTATCAATACGCAAGCCCACTGGATTTACAAAAGCAAGAATGGACGAGTTTTATCAAAATCTTGAGAAAGTTTATGATGAAAAAAAGTTCACGGCTAGTAGGATTTTTAATGTTGACGAAACAGGACTGTCAATTGTACAAAGCAAATATCCCAAAGTGATTGGTTGCCGAGGAAAAAAGCAAATTGGAGCTATGTCGTCTGCTGAAAGGGGAACTCTCATAACAGTGGTGACCTGTATGAGTCCAGCTGGTATATTTGTACCGCCAATGATGATTTTCCCGCACAAAAATAATAGCGACCTATTAAGGAAAGGTTCTCCTGAGGGCTCTATTATCCGAGTACATCCTTCTGGCTGGATACAAACATATTTATTCACGCAGTGGTTTGAACATTTTATCAATTATGTAAAGCCGTCCGAATCCTCACCAGTTCTCCTCTTATTTGACGGTCATTTCAGCCACACAAAGAATATCGAGCTCATAGATAAAGCTAGACAGAATCATGTGACTTTGATTTCACTGCCGTCACATTGCACACATAAGATCCAGCCCATGGATAAAGCATTCATGGGGCCACTAAAAAGTTACTACAGTGAAGAAATTCGTGTGTGGTTGCGCGAAAACAATAGACCACTTACTGCCTACGATATTTCAGAGTTATTTGGCAAAGCTTATCTAAAATGCCAGACTGGTGAAATTACAGCAAATGGCTTTAGAGTTGGTGGCATTTATCCATTAAATACAAATATTTTCACGGAATCTGACTATCTCGCAGCAGCACAAGAATCAGCGGATGGCATTGCTAAAAACGAACAAGAAGCACGTAGTCCTATCGCTGCAAGTCCACAAGTCATAAATGAAGCTGGAAATCATTCACCAACCCTATTACAAGGTTTCGATGACAGTCATGTTGATGTTTCGTCAGATAGCAGACAACAGTCATATGAAATTGTGTCTGAAACAGATCCTCCATCAGTAAACCTTCCTGATATTGCCATGCGAGAAGAACAAGAAAAAGAAAATCTTCCTGGACTTTCTGGTAGTAACCCCATTGTGACACCGTTTCAAATCTCACCAGTTCCTACTTCCAAATATCGGTCATCAAATCGAGGTCGTAAGCCAGGTAAATCTGAAATAATTTCTAGCTCACCCTACAAAAAGCAATTGGAAGAAGCAATAAACAAAAAAAAACTGAAAAAACCATTTGAAAATGAGTATAAAAATAGAAACAAAGAAAAGAAAACAAAGAGAAATTTAAAAGGAAAAGGGAAAGGAAAGGGAAAAGGGAAAAGGGAAAAGTTCCAAATCGACCAAAAGAAAGATATTTCCAGAAAAAGACACAGAGTCTGATAGTGATGATACATTCGCATCTGATGAATCAGAAGAAGATATACCCTCTTATGCTAATGTGAGACAACCTACAGGAAATGACTGTATTTGTTTTTTCTGTAGTGGAAAATTTACCGAAGATCAAAGGGGAGAACAATGGGTGCAATGCTTCACATGCGAAGGCTGGGTGCACAGCGAATGTGCTGGTTATGATTCGGGTTGCTATGTTTGTGATTACTGCAAAGACTAGAGAAAAGCAAAAAAGTAAAATTGATTTAGAAATAAGCATTGATATAGTTTTTTAATTTAAGTGATCTCAGTATCTTGTATCTACAAGATTTAGGCCAATTAAATGGTTAATTAAAGTTAATTATTTAGGTGATTGTAATTTGGAATACCCTATTCCAAATTTGATTCACTTTATCTAAACTACGCCAATCTGTGACTCTATGACTAAACCAAAAAAAATCCTACTTAAAATAAGCCAAGGTTTTCAATTATTTTTTATTTGATTAAAAGATAAGTTTTTCTAACACTGAATGCAGTTTTTATTCTTAAAACTCTCAACCCATGACTGATACGATTTTTTTAGAAAGTGGTATTCCAAATTTGCATCCTTTACTCTACGATTGGTAGAAGCATCGTCGATCGCATAATCGATGCTGATATCTCAAACTGTTGACACTGACACATCGATAAGATATCAACATAGTTAAAAGAGTCATAATCATAATACTAACAGCGCTATAATATAATCTAGCGATCTAAAAAAGATTTCAGGTATACATCCATATTTTGTAAGAAATTATACTTATTGAAATGAAAGTAAAGATGAAAAAAATTAAAAGAAGTATTCCATTAAATAAAACAACATAAACATTTAAAATTAATCAAATTTGAATTTTAATAAAAAACAGGTTACGAGAATAAAATGACTAGTAATTGATTAATAAAAATTATAATTTCTATTTCTATGGGGTCCGCCATCTAACTTTTTTTTCAACTAGTGCTTATTTCGTGAATGGCAACACTTAGCTCATGTCTAATTTGACAGATAATTAGTTTTATCCTTCCGCGGAACGAATATGGTTGTGTATACGCTTGAACAACGCTGGGAAATATTGCGACATTACTTTGAAAATCATGGTAATGTTGCAGAATGTGTGCGAAAATTGTGTACGGATTTTCGAAAAAATGAAGCACCGTCAGCTGCGTATGTTCGTTACCTTGTGAAAAAAGTGAAAGAAACTGGCATCCTCATCAATAAACCAACGCGTGAAAAGCCAAAAACAGTGCGTACATCCGAGAATATTGCTGCTATGGCCGAAAGTGTGCGTGAAACGCCATCAACATCAGTTCACCGTCGTTCTCAACAATTGGACATTTCGGAGACATCATTGAGACGAATTTTGCGTAAAGACCTTGGTATGACGCCGTACAAAATCCAATTGGTTCAGGAGTTGAAGCCAACTGACCATCCAATGCGTTTTCGCTTCGCTAAGTGGGCCTGCGATCGACTTGCAGAAGATGCGGATTTTGCCAAAAAAATCATCTTTTCAGATGAAGCTCATTTCGAACTTGGCGGGTATGTAAACAAGCAGAATTGTCGCATTTGGGGCACAGAAAACCCGCACGCATTCATCGAAAAGCCGGTGCACCCAAAACGAGTCACTGTTTGGTGCGGATTTTGGTCCAGAGGCATAATTGGGCCATTTTTCTTCGAAAATGAGCAAGGTGTGGCCGTTACAGTCAATGGCGATCGTTATCGGGCCATGTTGAACGAATTTTTGTTCACAGAAATTGAACAGGAGGATATTGGCAACATTTGGTTTCAACAGGACGGCGCAACGTGCCACACAGCCGACGCTACACTTGATGTTTTGCGCCCTGTTTTTGAAAATCGCATTATCAGCCGCAGAGCTGATGTCGTTTGGCCACCTCGGAGCTGCGATTTGACACCGTTGGACTATTATTTGTGGGGTGTCGTCAAAGATAAGTGTTTCGCCGTCAAGCCAGAGACAATTGACGCTTTAAAGGACAATATTCGTGAAGCCATTGGTGAAATACAGCTGCACACAATCGATAATGTACTCAAAAATTGGACCGATCGTGTAGGCTACTGCATGGCCAGCCGAGGCAGCCATTTGAATGAAATTATTTTCCATCATTAACCGGAAGGATTGTACTTTCAAGTAAAAAAAGAAATTTGAAAAAATATTTGGTAGTTTTTTTTAATAGCATTTTTAAAAAAAAGTTATTTGGCGGACCCGCTATAATTCTTTTGAGTTTTGACGGGAAGTAGTCCGGCGGCGGATTGCTGGTTTATTGTATAGATAATGATTTGAAGTGGATATTGATACGCAAAAGTGGTGCGATTTTGTGCTATAAAAGTCATCTATTAGTGGAGACGATAAAAAAGTACACCGACGGTGATGTGAACTTCAAGGAACGCATCACCTTAATAACGTTCCTTAACGTTTTCAATAAATTAATAATAAGATAATTTTGTAATACTTGACACTGGCGAAGGTACAACCATTTGAATGGATTCGCCATTACGAAAAAAAGAAAGCAAAATAAGTAAATATTGTATTAGTACTCCCGTATTAAGAAATAAAAAGCAGGTTAGTAATTTAGTGTTGTTTATGTAAAAGTCAATTAACGATCTCAGTGATACTGATTACAGAGTACAGGCGTCTGTGAGAAGTTTTGCAAACGGCTGCAGGTCGCTTTGAAGTCGCGACACAAAACAGCTGCGGAATATCGAATTCTGACACCAGCAACGTTTCTGGGATTTTCTGCGTCAGAAACGCTTTCTATATTTTTAGAATTGCGTGATTGGCAATGCTAAATTATTACATTTATGTAATTCTATTTATGTATTATTTATTATTAGTATCATCTGTGATCGATATACGATCATAAGTATGCAGACAGTATACGTACAAGAGTGTTACAGTATAAGCTGTAACACTCTTTTCCACCCACTTAGGGTTAAATTTTCCAAAGTTCTTTGTTATTGGGTCATCTACGTCGAAAAAGGAGTAAGTCAAATTTCAAGTCAATCGGACGTATAGCATGGAAGATCTCGTGATCATTGAGTAAATTTGTGATATTTTTCTTTTTTTTATAGAGGGGACAAACACACACAGATAATACGGATAGTATCGCTAGATTTGTCGCGATGTGAGATGGTGAAATTGAGCAGCTGGAATTAGTCCAATCAATTTCTCTATGCACTCCCCGTTGTATATGCGATAAAATACGTAAAGAAATGTACGTACATCTCTTCGCAGCGCCAGTTAGTCAAGCCAAGCAGAAAGTACTCGGTCGCCGACGATTCAGACCACTCTGCGCAGGATGTGATCAAGTGGAATGAGCCGGCAAGAGTGCTCAGGCCCAGAGATGAGAACAGTATTTCACGTGAGGCCGCACTTACGACTTTTAAAGATGCAAGCGGTGTGCTAGAATGAAATACTGTCCCGCTTTGCAAGGCACACCAAGCTTTTTAGAGGACCTTTGGCCTTCCCTTTCTGGAACTGAATGTCGTTCGATATGTCGACGCTAGCTAGCTACATTCCGATTCTAGCTGAGACTACGGGTGGAAATAGATTAAAGCAGAAGAGATACGATAAACGGGTTTTTTTAGCGATAAGCGCGCCAACTTGTGTCTTCTGGGGATTGAACTAGACTAAATTTAGTCGCCCTCAATCCGAAACTTTGTTCAACAAAGACTCGACTTCAGACACAAGTTTATTCGGGCACTCGACGACGTGTTCCCGAGAAATATTAGCACGGCCGGCGTATAAGGCATCACCAGTTCTGTCATCTGCACAACAAGGAATGTTACTGGTTTGTAACACATGCAGAAGGGACAGGGTAGGTCATAGTACGCAGCTTTGTGGAACACCAGCATTCACAAGTTTAGAGTCGGAGCATGCACCTTCGACTACAACCTTAGTGCTCCGATCTGACAGATAAAATGGTGATCCAACAGCATAATTTCTCGGGAAGCTTATAAGATGGAAGCTTCGAAAGAAGCGCTTTGTACTGAACCCGTTCGAAGACATTTGCTATGTCCAAACTAACCGACAAGGCCTCTACCCTGGACTCGACTGCCTGTACCCATCGGTGTTTTAGGTAAAAAAGAAGATCACCAGCTAAGAAGAAATAATAATAAACCGTACTGGTGGTCACTAATCACCTGGTGCTTATCAAAGTACCGCATGAGCTGGCAGTTAATAATGGACCATTATTTTCAAGAACAATGAGGTGATAGTAATAGGCCTGTAGTTGGACGGGTCAGAGCGGTTAACTTTTTTAGGGATCAGATGCCTTCCATGAATTTGAGACTACGCCTAGGTAGTGGGAGTAGGAGAGGATGCGTTAGAACTGGAGCCAATTCTGGTACACACGTCCTCAGCACAATTAGAGGGATTCCGCCAGGCTCACTCGACTTGTGAATGTCCAGGTGGAGGAGTGCTTTGATGAGCATTGTGTGAATTGCACATCGCGCATATAGAGCACTATCATTACGGAATGGATGGTGGTATGTTCCCCCCGTCATCAAGTCGAGTTGGCAATAACTCTTTTAAAGGACCTGGGGACTTACATATATTAATAGATTTGTTTGCATAACCTTTTTTGTAATATTTTTCCGTGTTGGGAAGGCTAAGACCCTTTTGCTTTTTTGCTATTATGCTCTTTTTGCTTATGTGAAGAAGTGATTTCATTTAATTGGCTAAAGCGTTTACAAATGTTAAATCATAAAATTCTTTTTTTATGTGAAAGAACCACACATCTATATATGTTTACACTATACAATAAATCAAATTATAACAAAATTTATCAAAATTCTATTTTTGGTTGCTAGAATTTTTTTTAAACTATATTGTCTACTTAAATATATAATCCAACTATCAAAAAGTTACGTACCCCTGCTATTCCTGATAACCTTGCATTGGTTTTGTTTACATTTAGTATATATTACTATTATATTTAAATATCTGAACCGGCCACAGAGATCAGCAAAAGGTATGAGTATGACACATCTGGAACTGCGATCGCCAAGCCGTCTACTAAGCGTAGGGATTATAAGCATTGTGGGGCCACAGGTTAAAATTTCTAGCGGTACAAGCATATGTACAAGTACAAGTAATTGTTCCAGATCTCTCTGTGTCCGTGTGTAATTTATGCAGGTAAAACGCTTTCACAATAGAAAAATACCTAATATGGAGGTAAAGTCATTAA